TGCTCTTTTCCCTGCAAGACCGTGGTTATCCAGCACTATCAAAGCCCCAAACGCTTGCTTCCTGCTGGGTCTGTGCTGCTTGAAGCACTACCAGCTCTGCTCCTGCAGCTCGCTCTGTCCCAAGAGAAACTTAACTGTGAAAGAGCTCTGGTTCAGGTCAGGAGTTCTGGTCTTACGAAGTCAGCAATCTTCTAGCAAACCACGGCCACTGCTGTCCAAGCCACCCTTCCTACAAAGGAAGCCGCAGCTCCCAGCCCTGGGCAGTGTTCATCACGACAGACATTACAAGCAGGACAGCCACTTCTTCTCATGGAACCAGCCGCAAACCACGGGGGCCTTAATGCCTTCTGCAGAGCCTCACCTATTCACGCAAAACACAGGCCCTTGGAGGTCACGGAGTTGAGTTCCTGGGAAGAACGTAGCAAAGGCAATATCCTGAGGAAGCACCTCCATGTCCCCCAGCCTGTCCCCTCAGGGCCAGCTCTGGTCAGAGCACAGTCCCCGCAGCCATGCCCACAGCGTCGCCGACCTGGCAGCGGCTCAGGCGACACAGGCTGACGTCAGCCCCTGTCTGCGGGCTGTGCTGCTCCGGCCAGCCATGGGGGCAGCCTCTTCCAACCTGACAGAACAGTTACTTTCCCACATTGCTTTTTATTTCCCATCACTCGGTTTGAAGAGCAGTTCAGACTACAGCCAGGCTAGCATACAACTAACACACAAACAAAACCTCCCCCAAATCCACAAAAGAGTCAGCCAGCTCCCCTGCCTTGCCCCAGTAACCCTTGAACTGAACAGAAGAGGGAGGTTCTAGCTTTGTGAAACAAAATGCAACTGCCATGCAATGGCAAAAGGGCCAGAAGCGATGCCAACAATTTACACAAGCAATCAAACTGCAGAAAAATGAACTCCTGCATACCCACGGTGCAGGTGGCATGCAAAATGGATTTAGGGGATGAATCTGTTTCAGCATCAGCTGCCAGATAGCTTTAATTCATGTCAGATACAATTAGCTCACTCTGACAATTGGAAAAGGAAGCTTGAGTATTAACAGCATTGTTGGTTGCGTTGCGCTGGGAAGGCCACGCTGCAGCAGTGCCGCCCCTGCAAAGAGGAACCCCGAGCTCTGCCGCCTCCGCGCTCGGCAGGGCAAATTCAGCGCACAGACCGCCCCACCAGGTACAAACCCAAACACACACATGACCCCACCAACGGCTACAGATTCTGCTTCTGCCACTCGTCCAGGTGCTAAGCGTTATTTTGCACTTTTTTTGCTGTGGACATAAATAACGTGTTAACCCCAATAACAGCACAAACAGGGCCTTTCATCCTCCAGAAGGGTCAGGAACGCGAAGCGCGTAAATTCAGGGTTAGAAAGAAAGGTGTGCCGCTGCTGATGGAGTGCTGGGCAGGCAGGCTTGCAGGGACACGGGGCTTCCCTGCCTGCATTGGAAAAGCCTGTGGAAGCAGACAAGTCCTATCTGCACCTCCTTACCGCTCGAGACTCATTGATCTAGAGGAATAGTACTACTGCTAATTACTGGGTTTACCAAGTAGCAATACCGTACCTCAGCATTAAACAGGAGACCAAAGCGGCCGACAGCGTGACAAGCAGGTCGAGGCAGGGCCTGAAAGGCTGCAGCCGGAGCTGTTAAAAGCAGACAGCGTTAACAGAAGAATTGTCTGGGCCAGCTAAGCAGTTTAGTTCAGTTTTTCCCCCTGGTAAAGACATGTTTAAAGCAGAATCTAGACTTACACATCTGCATCCAAGCAAGTGTGTTGCAGTTTTATTTACAGCTTAGCTAATCGTTTGGGTTTTTTTTTTTTTTTAATTAATAGTTTAACAGAATTCATCAATGGCAGCCAGGCAAGGTTGCTTGTAGCTTAGTAGTTTACAATATCGCCACCTGCAGTAAGGACATAGGAGCTGCCAAAGCCGCCTGAACAGCGATTCCCAAACACACGGTATAGACTTGAGGTTTGCATTACAGCGACACGCTTGCTTTCTGAAGGAAATTCATGTAGGGATGCTGTGCTACAACCTTGCTCCCATCCCACGGGCCGCATCAAAGATTTACACCAAAGCGTAAGTTACCTCTGACAGCAGCTTTTGCCAGTCTTCCTTCTTAATCACACGGTAGGCTTGATTTCCAAACCTAGGAAAATTCCCCAAGTCTCAACATCCTTGTTTATAGCCCCTTCAAAGAGGCTTAAATCAAGGACATAAAGGTATCTTTGGAAAGGACAGCGTGCTAGCTAACGAACAAACAGGCTTGGTTTTAGAAAAAAAAAAAAAAAAGATCTTAGGCAAAATTAGAGAAGAAAAGTTCTTTAGTCTGAGCACTCTCTTAACATGCCAGTTAAAATGCTCTCATGCTAGCTTCCCTGCTGGAACAGAGGGAGGAGTGCCACGTTGCCCCTTGCAGGTGCCATTTCCAAGATTTCTCTGTATTTTCTATAAGCAATGGGGGAAAAACCATTAATGACTGAGGAAGTTTTGTTCTGTTCAAACAGCATTTATTGGATATGGCTCTTTGTCAAAGAAATGCACTGAATCAACTCCATTTACATGAGAAGAAAGGGAAAATCAATGTTTTCACTAGTCCAAGCTTTCTTCTTCCCTTTCTATACTCAGCTCCTGGAGTACTCCTTCTCCCAAAGATCCCGAAGGGGGTGTAGGAAGAGCCTGTAAGAAGCGCAGCAATTCTGTTGCTTTCTTTGCCCAGACAGATACGAACTCCAGTTGCTTGTGTCCGCTGCTTACATCTTCTGCAAGATACCAGAATATCCTGCCTGCCGCTCCGCAAGCCCAAGAGAACCGTATCTTGGTCTCAATCTTAAATGAAATAGGAAGTAAAATATTTTTTCCCCTGAATCTATTCTAACCCCATTACATATTATAGCTAGAAAAATTAATTCTTAACTTCCATTCTGTAAATTAATGGAAGGATGGCACAAATTAGAAGACCTAGAGGTAACAGTGCTAATGTGACATTCTTTATTTACAGAGGGATGCCAACGTTCACTGAGTTTCACCTATGGGTTTGCACCATGGCAAGCTTGTGCAAGGCGTACCTAGAAAGAAAGAGAACTTCATCAGTACTTTAAGAGACGCTTTGATATCCCACAACCACTAACAACTTCTGCCTGAAGTAGAAGACACTTCCAGTCTGGATTCAGTTTTTCACAACATTGGCTTTTCAGGAAGCCTGTGGTTTATCTGCAGCTTGTGTTAAGCTAGGTGTGATGTAAAACTACTCCCCCTCCTTCCCTCCTCGGTTCATGCTGCTTCTTGAGCAGTGACGAGCCAAAATACAAGACAAGTGCAGGGGGAAATAAGGAGTTGCTGTTACACCTCAACAGTCCAGTGACCCCCAACTCTGCCCTGCAGCTTCAGGTCATGGCTGACAGAAATACTCACTGAGAGCTTCTTCATAATTCCTTGGGCCTCCTGATTCAGATGAAGAAGATTCTTCCTGGTTAAATCACTTGCTGTTAAACGAATGCTCTGTGAAAAAAACCCCACATTTTAGGTTTTCTGTTTGGTCAGATGTAGTAGCCAGAAGCAGGAAAAAAAAAATAAAATAAAAAAAGGTAAATAAAATCCAAGCATACTAGGAGACCACATACAGGCAGAGAAGTACATTCAGCTTGACCAGAAGCTCATCTCGTACCTTCCTTGCAGTGCATGAACACATCACTGCCAGCAGAAGCTACTTTAAGTGTTACTTAAATGCAGGGCAAAACATCATTCTACATTTTGCTTTGACCAGCTTCCACTTCTGACTAAAAATCCATCAATGTTCTTTTTAAGCTGGATCAATCCCCTGATAAAGTGCAGTGGCACAACTAAAGAGACAAGAGCCGATGACTTGAAACTGGTCAGGCCCCAAGAAGTTACAAGCTAATCCCTTCAGCATCGATTTTACAGATTGAAGTTTCTGATTTACCTCCCCTCCTCCAACAGGGACTGTAATGAAGATATCCTTGCTGTCAGCGAGGGGGCTGCCATTGGCAGAGATGGTGTAAACACGTTCATTCACTGCGGGTGTGCGCAAACCCGGTGTCTTGAAAATTCTGAAACAAAAAGTTACAGGTAAGTAATTTCACTGCTCAAAGCACTTTGTCTAAAAGTCTTTCATTTCAGGTTCAGAGAGCCGCTAAGGATTACGTTGCAAATAGATGACAGACATCTAAAACAAATGGCAAAGCACTCCCCTATATAGGAGATTAACAGATAAATTTAACAGAATACACACCTGGAATCAAATTTGGGTGTGACCATGGAGGTACCTCCCCGAGCACAGAGATCGACAGTCCTACCAGTAGCTGGAGTGATCAAGTTGGTTTTGCTGGATCTGGTGAAGGGAAATAAACATCTGCTCGTAAGAACACTTCTAACGAATGCACAAGCTCTATCTTATCAAAGCCTTGAATAAGGTTATCACCACAGAAGCCACTCACTAATCAAAAGTAAACCCCAAAGCGCAGGAGGGGAAGTTGCCCATCTTCCATTCACCGTCAGATCACCCCTTTTTCCCTATAGCAGGGCACAATTACGTCAACCAGCCTACTCAAGCACGCTTCGTTCCATTGAAGATTTCTATTAGCACTATACACTTATCCTCCATTTCTGAAACGCGGTGAAAGAGATATCCCGTTACCTTTTACTCACGCGCTTCACTCTTGTTGAAGGAGCTCTTCTGGTCCTGGCCACCGGTGCTTTTTTAGTGGATGCCTTCACCTGAAACACACATTGCTCACCAAATCAGTTACTTCACTCTTGTGTGACAGCTGAGTCCGCAAGGAACAAACGCTTCCGTACAAAATTCTCGGCTCAATGGACTCCTTTTGGCCGTGTAAGCCTCCAGAAACAAACACCACACAAGCTTCAGTGACCTTCTTTTATCGCTAGACGTTTCAGGAAGCGATACCTGTTTTGGAGTCCCCCTCAAAGTATCCTGAACAGCTATACTGTCACAGGCATCATCCCAGAAAGCAGTTCCTATCTTGGGAATACAGTCACCACAAATATTGCCATTTACCTTTTCAGTTCTGGGATTAATGTTTTCAGCGTCTAGCTCCGGAAGACACTGGCCATCATGTTTTGCTTTCTTTGCTAGAGGAAGCAAGGGAGGCTCCGCTTCTTCTGCAGTAGCTTCAATACCCCATTTAGATTTTTTCACTAGGAAGAGAAAGCATTATCTGAGTTGAAAATAAATAATAACTTTACATTATTAGTTAGCGGCGGAGGTAAACAGTAAACAACCAGAAGGATTTTGGGCAACAATTTGCTTCTGAAATCCAAATTCCAATGTAATCCCAATGGCTGACAGAGCACTATCTTGAATTGCTTTGAGGTTTTAGAAAAGTTAGGTAGAGCTACCGCAGATAGTAGGGATAAAAGCAGGATTATTTTCTTGCCTTTAAATATACTGAGGAACGCAAGTAAGAACTGAGTTATTATTCACAGTATGTAAACCATGACATGCTTTCATCTAGCTGAACTCATCGCAACGCTTAAAACAAACTGACCTTTCCCGATGGTTTTCAAAGGAGTCCGGATAATTTGTGCTGTTAACTTGTTTATTTCTGTTATTTCCAAGTCTGCCTAAAATTAAAAACAGTCACGACACCATCAGGATTATGCGTAGCCTACTGTGCTGAGAAATCCAAGCTGTAGAGCAAATCCCCAATTACTTTATAGCAAGAATGTAGCAAGAATATCTCTGTGTTTTCTGTGTGCTCAGACCGGGATCTTTCATGTTATTCTGGAGGCCACAACAACACATGAGGTCTGCGTGCCATTCAGGACTAACGTGCCTTGTTTGGCAGCTGCAGGTCTGCTTCACCCACGCCCCCCTGCTCCACCAATGTGGAAACGCTTTAGCTTACTCGAAAGTGCATGTGCTCTCATGGGTCTGGGGGTGAAATCGGGCAGGTAAGGAAAGACCGACAAGGAGCAGCACGAGCACACGAGTCCTGCGTTGGCTACGACAGGCATCTCTCACTGTCGAGTCCTGTGTCTGTGGAAGTGTTTGCGTAACCTCTGCTATCGCAACGCTCTGACAGACTCGAGAAACCCTTCATTTCTGACAAGGGTACGCGAGGCCGCCAGGGAAGTTTAGCACCTATGCGAGAAACCTACCGTTGCTGCCTCTTCCAACACCTTTTTGCTTCCTCCTTTAGGTAAAAAGAAAACATTTCTTAAAAAATCAACGCATACCCCAGACAGCCTGTTCAGCATACATAGACACGCTTAACGCGTCACCAGCAGGGCGCAGAAAACCAGCACAAACCAGTTTTCTTGGCTGCGGTCGAGCAGCCCCAGACAAAGGGCGCAGCGCTTCCCGCCGGCCGGGGGGGGCCGGGCGGAGGAGGCTGGGGGGGGCCC